TTATTCTTAGTTGGCTATCATGCTTTCATTTTACTAAAAAATAAAAACAAAAAATAAAATTCTGGAGCTAGTTAACATAAAAAATAATGAGCATGATCAGCTGGGAATCATATCTGTCTGATAGTATTAGAGTGGTAATCATTATCCTAATTTGTAGACAAAAGCATGATAGGCTTAGGTGACTGGTCTGTGAACATGCACAGAAGTCGGTGGAGTTCCTGAAGTTTTGTAAAAATAACCTAGAACTTGGTAATTAATGAACAATTTTCTTGTAGAACAAATATTTGCTATGCCTCCATTACAAAGGAATTTTGGTAGATTTGCATAATATACATTATATGTTATATTAACATACCATTATGTAGTACTATGTATACATAATATATAAATGCACATGTACATATATGTGTGCATATGCCTACATTGTCTATATGTGTAAATACATTTATATGTTTGTGTGCATAAATATCTTAATATGTACACTCCTAGAGTGATCTTTATTTCTAGCACTTTTATGAAATGAGAAATTGAGGAAAATGATAGGATTTTCTTTTCAAGACCAACTGAAATATTGAGCTTGGAGGAATTTACCTTGTATAGCAGGCACTATTCCATGGTACTATTTTGAAAGGCTTGAAAACTGTTGTTCCTGTAAAGCACTTCTCTGGAAGTAGATTTCTGACTCTCCTCTTACATGGATTTATTTCTTTGAATGGCCACCATATGCAAAGTTCTACATTTGCACAATGTTTAACTATTTACATGCAACTTTAAACTTTGCTCTTTCTCACCAATGATAGTTTTTACTTGTGACATTGTATTTCAAAGTTTGCCATATGTTACAGTGGCAAATTTTGCTAATAATTTGAATGTCTGAAACATTATTTTTCATGTTCAAATTCATGCAGATAATTTCTATAGAGCATGTTTAGCTCAACCTCAGGGAATCATTTAATGGAATATAGTTCTAAAAATCTTCACTTGCTAGTGCCGAAGTTTCCACTGATATTCATCCTTGAAGATTTTTATATTATGAAAATCCTATTTTTAAATGAGTGTCTTGTGTGATTATTTTAAAAGCACATATTTTTAATGCCCAAACTACATCTTTTCTATAGTATATGAGTTTCCTTCATAGCTCTAAAGAAAGATGTTATGTACAGATATGTGTTGCTTAATGACAAGGATATGTTCTAAAAGCTACGCAGACATACAGTGTATTTGTACAAACTAAGAGTGCTGTGGTGTCAGTAGGTAATATAGTCTGTGGGATCACTTGCACACATGATGCATTATTGACTGAAATATCTTTGGTGCAGAAGGTATGTATACTTTTTGGTAATAAACATTCTACCTATCTAGATATTTTCAATATTTTAATATATGCATTTCAATTACAAAGTAAAATATGCTCATCATATTGGTCTGCTTCTCATCACTGTGACCAAATACCTGACATGCAAATTAAGGAAGAAAAGATTTTCAGAGTTTCAGTACATGGGTGACTGGCTCCAAGACAGAGACATCACAGCTGAAGGTCATAGTGGATGGAAGCTCCTCACCCACGGCAGCTGAGAAGCAGAGAGGATTGGAAGGAGTCAGAGAGGAAGTGGCCAGGGACCACAGTCCCCAAGGACAGACCCCAATGACCCACCCAGACACACCCACAAGTGTGCTTTTCTAATGTCCTAAGCGTCTCTCAAGCCATTTAAGTCAACAGAATTAACACACTCATGGTTGAATGTTTTTAAGCCATGAGAAAGTAAGAAATGGAAAGTGACCTGTCACATAACCTCAACCAGCAGAGACGACCTATTTTTACAAGTGTTCATGGCTTTCCATATTTTCCATTTTGCGTGTATCTGTATGTGCACACACATAGCATATGTGTCAGTGTTTATGGTTTAACTTCTATTATTCGCTACTCTTAACAGTCTCACCCTGCAGGATTTCACTTTGCATGTATTGCCACAAACAATTTAGGACACGCTGAGGTAAAAAGAAGGGAATTGTTTTAATTTTTGTTTTCATTATTAGTGAGTTTCAGTGTTATTATAGTTATGAACATTTTGTTCTTTATCCAAACTGCCTGTGCTGATCGACTGTTAGCCTAACCTATTTATTAGTGTTTTCATCTTTATTATAGAACCTGTGTTTACTATGGATACCAAACCATTGCTTACTTATTTTCCAAATGTTGTATTTCAATTTTATATAAATCACTCACTAGCATGATGAATGCCTACATGAATGCTAGGAAATCTAAAAACTGATGAAATGTAATGTTATAGCAGCTTATACTAGCTGTGTACCCAGGCCATGACAGGGCCCCAGAAGGGTGGTACCTAGCATGGGCCAGCTGTACCAGATGACACTGAGTGTGCTTTGAAATGTGATGAGGAATCGGTAAGTCACAGGAGAGAAGGTATTCCAGGAAGAAGGTGCAATCACCTACTGAGAAAAGAGCAAGGTCTATTCTGGAAATGAAAAATAGTTCACTTGGTCTCGAGTAAAATGTTCAGTATAGAAAGTCATGACCTGGGCCTGCAGAAATGGACAAGGGCCAGCTTATGAATGGTTTGCTATTTACTGTAAGGCATATAAGCTTTTAAGTCTGGGGAAGGCATTGCTGTGCTTAGGATTTGAATTTCAGGAAAGCTCTCGTAATACATGCAAGGTGGTCAAGGGGGTCAGTCTGGAGGCAAGAAGACCGGGTCGTGTCTCGTTGGGACAAACATTCAAGCTTTTCATTGCCATACTCTTCAAAAGGGCAAAATGAAATCTTATAAAAGCTACTCTGAGCTTTTATCGGAGCTGAGCCTAACTCTGGAAGAATATACACTTAGGAGTGGTTATGATTGAGGGTAAAGGGGCTTTTTGTCTTTTGTTTTCTTCTGTAGACACTTTTGTTTTACTGGAGTTTTATTTTCAATCTAACACAGACTACAGTAATTAAATGATTCACTTTTTATTATTTTTTTCAAAACTGCACCAAAAACATATGGGGAGTGTCTGACTTGGAAATCTGTGTGATAATGTTTGAGGGATTTGGTGGACCATGACATCAGCATTAGCCCAAATTCTAATATGGCTGCTAAAAGCTGGTGTACTCTTGGTTGATACTATTAATAATATTTTATGTTAGTCTAATAAGGATGTTTGTGGTCTGCTTGGCAATGGCCAGGTTGATTTGGTAATGATCAAAATTAGGATGGCAAACTTGGAGCATGCTCAGGAAAACTGCACTGAGAGGGAAATGCCTTAAAATCAGGCTCGATAGGAACCTATTAAGGAAAATGATAACTCACCTATATCCCTAGTTGTCACATTGCACACCTTGAACTGATACAACTTTATGTAGCAACTGTATCTTAATAAGCTGGGGGGCAAAGACAATGGGGATGTTGTGTTAGAGGTCAGGCAGAGGAAGTGAGGCAAAATATCTGAGTCTGGGTGATGATGACGTCTCATACTAAAGAGAAGACATGGTTCATTAAACTTCTGACAGCCACAGGGATAAGGGGTTAAAGTTGCTAATAGAGAAGATTTTGACTTAAGAAAGAAATTGAACGGGTGTCATATTTTTATGACTAAAAGATGGATATTTTTAATATTTTCTGCCAGCTTTTCACAAACTGACAACAACTGCAAAATTCTTTCATTAACTAGTGTTTGGCCAGTTGGACCAGGAAAGATTTCCTAAAGTGCAGCCATATTTGTTTGTATTTAAATTTGGTCAATAAGTTTGCATATGTTTTCTCATTCAATAAAATCAACAGACTGACTTATTGGGTTAGTTACATGATACCTATTTCCATGTTTCCAAATAGAGGACTAAATGGTAATGTTAACAATATTAACTAGTTTTCTCAGCGTTAATGAATCTCACCGTAACTTAACCCTAAATGCCACCTGCTCTCACACGGGATGTATTCACGAGCTCAGCCTGCTGCTCTTGCTCTGTGGTTTTACCAGTTTCTGTAGCTCCCTTATGCACAGCTATTTTATTGTACCTTCTCACAAACAAAAAATAGAATTTATGGAAACAGAGAGATGTCCGACATAACATCTAGTCCGGGACAGATGCCATAAACACCTTCAAAAGTTGTAAGAAGATACAATTGCGGTGTCGTCCTGCGGACTTCCGATTCAGCACGTGAGCAGGCTGTGCTCACATGTAACCCTCAGCAGGGGACACTGAGCTCTCGGATGTACTGTACTGTGAAATGGTAGTGAGAACTGAGAAAGGCAGCATGATGCGCATTCTTCTGACAAACTGACACACTTCCAAATTGTGTGATGTTTAAGCTAGGAAATATGGCTGACTTGACAGCATTTGGGGCATCATTTTGCAAGTATGCTACAAGTCGTTCCTTGGTTGTAAAACTGAGGTGTCAGTTGGAGCTCTGCAGAGAAGCAGAAACACTAGGATGTGTGTATATATAAAAAGACACATGTATTTACATACTGTAACACACACACACACACACACACACACACACACACGGAGCAAGAGAGACAGAGAGAGCATAGGCATATGCTCATGCCATTGCAGAGGTGGGCAGGTCCCAAGCTCTGCACCCACGATGGCCCGGGGCGCATTCCAGAGAGAAGATAAATGGGCTGGGGAGGCTGGGAGAGTTTATGTCCCCTGTAGAGTCAGAAGGCAGGAAAAAGAACCATGTCCTGGTTTGAAGACAGGCAGACAGGAGAACTCTCTGTATTCAGAATAGGGTCCATGCTGGTCTTCACCTGACTAGATGAAGCTCTTTCTCCATGTGAGGGAGAGCGACCCGCTGTATTCCATCTGCAGATTTGCATGTAAACCGTCCAGAAAACCCATCAGAGGCACACTCAGGAATGTTTGATCAAACACCTAGGCACTCACCCATAGCAGTCGAATTGACACATACAAGTAAGCATCAACCTGATTTAGCAGTCAGGTGTTACTTCAGTGTTTATTGCATATGATCAATTAATTAGTTCTTTCTCCTGCCCAGGAATTATTTACTTAACATCAGCTCTTGGTCATTTGGAGCCTACTACAGTGTTTTTGACCGTCTGTGCTCGAGACGGTGGCGGGCTCACAGCTGCCACCAACGCTGAGGTCACTGTACACATCCTGCACACCACGCTGGCTCCAGCTGAATTTGAAAGGCCGAAGTATTCCTTCTCGGTTTCTGAAGATGCGCCGGAGGGCACTCCCGTTGGAACAGTGAAAGCGAGAGAGTCCTTGAGTGAGTACTCGCTTCTTACGTGGGATCGAAGCCCATTGTTAGAAGACCTCCCGGGCTCTGCAATCTTGACTAGTTCTTCCCTTCTCTATGCCAGGCAAGTGAAGGGACCCAGCAGAACCATGGCTCGTCCTTGGCCTTTCAACACTGTTTCTGTCCATCCTATATTTCTTCTGATAATCAAAGCAATTGGCATTTTTAAGAGAAGAAAGCTTAAAACAATGTAGAAAGTATAGCTTATAATCTCACCAAAACACCATGCTTTAAAAAACATGCTTTTACAAAACTGCATCCTGCTATATTTGTTATATAACTTTTACCACTCTGTGTGTGTGTATGTGTGTGTGTGCGTGTACACACACTTTCCAGGTAAACTGCAGCTCATTCTGTCTGATTTTATAAGATGCTGTGTTTTATTTAAACACTTTAATTTGCTACCAATACGAATGATTTGAATTTTTTTCTAGTACAAATAGTACTTGAGCAAAACTCCTCTCTGACCTCCGTCACATGTGTGAAGGTGTGGAGGCCGGACTAATTCCTGGAAGGGAGTTACCTGGCCCAAGTGCTTGTTCTCGGCCACTCTTCTCCTCCTTTCTTCCCCTCCTGGCCACAGCATCTGTGCCGTTAGTTGCCCTTCATAGGTAGATGAAGTTGGAGAGACAATGATCATTATCATAACTTGGCTTCCTCTAACATGCGAGACAGGTACCCAAATCATTAACTGTCTGACCCTTTCACTCATACAAGAGAGCCCTCGAAGCCCGTGCCTGCCCTTCCTCCCCTGGACCTTGCTTTTGCGCCTCAGGAACCCTGAGCCAGGCGTCCCTTTCCGCGGGTTTGACAGAGAGAGGAGGGAGCAGGACCGGACCCAGTCGTGCTCCACCTTCGCGGTGTCCGTGAATACTCTCGGTTCCAGCGTTTCCCGCAGGTTTATTCTTCGGGCACACAGTGATGGATTGCACGCTCTCTTTTCAGATTCCTCCGAACCCATCTCTTACAGAATCTCCTCTGGCGACCCGGACGCGACGTTCTCCATCCACCCGTGGCTGGGCACTATTCGCACTCGGAAGCCCCTGGATCACGAGGCGCAGCCCGTGGTGGTCCTCACCATCCAGGCCCAGCTGGGCGGCTCCGCGGCCTGCAGCAGCACAGAAGTCAACATCACCGTCCTCGACGTCAACGACAACCCGCCCGAGTTTCTCGGGGCTGCCGAGGAGATCCGCGTGTCCGCGGCCACGCCTCCCGGCGCCGCGCTGTACCTGGCGCGCGCGGCGGACAGGGACAGCGGGCGCAACGGGCAGCTGCGCTTCTCCCTGGCGGGCCCGCACCCGCGCGCCTTCGCGGTGCACCCCGGGCTCGGCGTGCTCTACCTCCGTGCGCGCCTGGGGGGCGACGAGCCGCGGAGGCGCACGCTGACCCTGGTGGCCGAGGACCACGGCGAGCCCCCCCGGGCCTCCCAGCTGGTGCTGACGGTTGTCATCGAGCGGGACGAACCAGGGCCCGGCGTGGCTTTTGCAAATCTGGTCTATCAGGTGGAGGTGAGCGAGTCTGCCCCGCCCAGGACCCAGATCTTGCAGGTACAGGCGAGCGCGCTCGGCCCGGGGCGCGCAGCCCTGCGGGTGCAGTACGCGCTGGAGCCGGGCGCGGACTCGGCCGTGTTTGGGGTCCAGCCGCACACGGGTTGGATTTATCTGCGGCGACGGCTGGACTATGAATCCGCGCAGACACACCGCTTCAGAGCGTCTGCCTGGGCCCCGCAGGGTGGAGTGCCGCAGAACGCGAGCGCCTCGGTGACGGTTCACGTCCTGGACGAGAATGACAACGCCCCGACCTTCCCGCACGGCCAGTTGTTTCTGAAAGTCGAGGAGAGCCCCGTCCCCCTAGGGGTGATAGGCAGAATCGCGGCCACTGACGCGGACTCCGGCAAGAACGGGCAGCTGTCCTATTTCCTTCTGTCCGCTGGGAAGTTCTTCAAGATGAACCCCAACACAGGTAGCATTTTGTAGCTTCCGCTCACTTCTTTAAAATCAGGATTGGGAAAACGGAACTCGTTAGGCACGGTTTGAGTACAAATAACGTAGTTAAAATTAATTTTTGGTGAGTGCAGTATTTGACTAGAGCATTATGTGATTTTAAAATGAAGTTCAAATTGAAAAGGTTTTAGCTGGAAGGATCCGTATTTCTCTTGCCTCGCACTGGCTGGTTGCCTGTGAATTCACCTGACGCTGAATGACATCAGTCCACAGCGACAACAGGGAGGAGAAACCACTGCCTCAGATTTCACTGTACCTTTTTTACATCTATTACGGACATGCTTACAGTTATGTGACAGGTGCACACGGTGCTCGGGGCAGTTCCCTTCTGCACAGAACTGTAGAGTAGCAGAGGAAAAGCAGTCGGCTTTTCCTGTACCAGCCCGCAGAGTGCTGTAAAAGCCAAAGTAAGTAGCAGGGTTCATCTAGGTTCGTGTAAGCACATGCGTGTTCACACCGTGCTGAAATCGGCCAGTAACGTATTTCTTAAAACAAGTCCCCATCGAAAAGCAAGTGATTTTATGCAGTACTTACACTGAATTAGCAATAAAGTCAGTCTCTCATAGGAATAAATCCTGTCTAAATGTTTGTTTTCTCCACCAACTGTTCTTTTTTATTAGTGTCACGACATACTCATTGAGTATAAGTCACCCATTAGTTAAGATGTGAAAATCACCTTAAGGGTCTGTGCCCCGATTGTCTTCTTGGTAAGGGAATGAGGGAGCAAGGAGAGATCATCACACCGATGTAATTATTTTCCAAAGTCTTAATTTAAAAGTTAAATATAAAATGATATCATGCTTTAAAATTGGTATTGTGCACATGTACAAGGACTTTGATCCCTACAGCAAAGTGCACTTAAGCTGCAGTGATATAACTGGGAAAACAGATTCAAAGAGCCGAAGTAAAGTCACAGAGCTTGCCAGGGTATGAGGAAGCCACCAAATCGTACAGTTGCTTTATGTCATAACTTGTGTTGTGGGGCCTCTGCCTTTTGGTGAGACGGGATTTGTGCTTGGTTTTGACCCACTTCAGGCCTTTGTTTCGAGGGCAGAAGGTGTGAATAGAAGGGTCCCCTTGCTCCATCGGGTGGGGCTTTGCAGCAGGGCCTGCGGCGGCCAGGACCGGTGCAGGCAGGATGTCAGTTCTGAGTCCCTCCCTGCGTGGAGCCCGCCTGCTGGGCATGGGCTGCCTGGCTGTGCAGAACATCCCTGCTTGCTTCCCGTTCCACACCACTGTGGCTTTCCCAGCTTTCTATTCCACTTAGTCGTTTTTCTAAACGTGTGAACTATAGCTGGTTCCTCCCGATCCTCCCTGTCCTGTAGGTGATCCCGGACCCAGATTCAGAATACCGGGTGTCTGCTCCTCATTTTGTTGCATGGCTTCAGCAAGTAGCTGACTCCATAATTCAGTATCTTTGCTATGAGTAGTGGGGGTCATTGTAGCCATGCTCCTGGTTGTGCTCTGGGGGGCAAAGAGCCAAAGTACATGAAGAGATGCCTTGGTTACTTCACTCTTGTTGCTGAGACAAAAATACCTGACATCTATAATTAAGGAAGGAAAGGTTTATTTAGCTCACAGTCTGTGGAGGTTTCAGTCCATACTTGGCTGGCTCCAAGGCAGGGTGGCACATGGCAGAGGGCAACAGTTCATGGCGGCAGAAGACAGCAACAGCAACAACAGAAAAAGGGATGAGCAGCAAGAGCAAGGCCCTTTCCCTCCCTGATACTGTATGCAGGCTTTCTACCCCAGGGCAGGTGCAGCGCTCACACCCATAATCCCAGCATTGGACCGTGGATCAATCAGAAACTCTAGAAGCCCTCCCATGCCTGCCTGAGGCTGGGGGGGTGGGCATCCAGACACAAACGGTAACAAAGGGCTGGAAAGACTGTGTGCTGTTCATTTCCATGGACAGTGGGGCAGGGCAGGGCTGAAGGGCTTCCCTCAGAGCACGGGCAGCCACCCTGTCCTCCCCATCCTTGTGCCCTGAGTACTCCTGGTGCTGGCCAGGACTCCCGTGCATACCGATAAGCCCTGCCTCGGCATCTGGCACTACGGCCCGGCCAAGCCTGACGATCTTTCCCACTTGACCTCTAAACAGGTCTGTCTGTCAATCCGAGTTGGCTTATGAAATAACAATGTTTGCTATGGAGAATTTTGGGTTCCAGGAGAATTGCAGTATAAAACTTGAAAAATGCAATCGTGTGTCTGATTTTTACTAAAATCATAGTTATAATTAACACTGTTTAAATGTAGTTTACATGGTAAACACTGCAGTTAGCTCAGCAATTCAGTGACACCCAAATGTGAGTTTTGTTTCTCATTTCAGTCTTTTCTTTCTTTCTTTCTTTCTTTCTTTCTTTCTTTCTTTCTTTCTTTCCTTCTAATTCAGTAACATTTTATTTGGATTCAGAAGAAAAAATCTTGGCCATAAGAATCTTTGGTGGTTGAGCATAGTGGTGCATCCCTATAATGCCAGGACTCTGAGAGGCTGAGTCAGGAGGATAGCAAATTCAAGCCCTGCCTAGGCAACTTATCGATTTAGTGGGACTCAGAAAATAAAAAATAGAAAGGGCTGGGGATATAGCTCCGTGTGAATCCCCAGTACTATCAAAGAGAAAGTTTGGTGCTTGCTGCTTCACGTTTACTGTCTCTCAAAGAGATCTCTTCACACACGCTCAGGAGACTGTCTGTGCCTCACAGCAAGAGGTACGGGTAGGGAGAAGAAGCAGATTTGTGCTGGAGTCCTTGTGGCTAAAACATGAAGGAACTTACCAAAAGTAGCACAGTTTTAGGCAACAGTGTAGAAAATAAGCCTTGTAAAACATGAATAGTTACTTGGGAAACTTCTGTCTGTGGGTACACATATGTCTCACTCCATTAAAAGGAAATTGTATGTTTAAATGATAAGCCACTCCCCGAGGAATACTATTTTCAGGAAGGTACTTTGCCATTCTTTTGAAGGAGTGATAACAAGTGCCATGTGTGCAATGATTTACAGCTTACAAAACACCTGCATGTCTGCGATTGCATCTGTTTGGATGACACCCCTAGGAGGTCACTAGGTGGCAGAACAGGGGCCCAAACCCAGAACTTGTGATGTCATCACTCGCATACTTTCCGCTGTTTCATAGGACAGCATAACAAATGCGGAAATTTTATGAATTCATACTTCTTTGGTTTAAATGGCTGATAGCGCATAATTTGAAATACAAAGCATACCAAATCTGAAGTGGCATTTTCGAGAACAACTTCAGGAAATTCTTTCGGTGGTACCACAGAGCCAGACTGGATGCGGTCTCAGGAGTCATGCGGTTGCAGATGGCTCTTGTGTGGGTTATTTGGGGAGGGGCTCCCGATGCCAGCGTTACGGTACACAGTGTCTTTGTCCTTGTTCTGGCCTGTGTCCCTCAGGTGAACTGATCAGTTGGCTGGCACTGGATCGTGAGCGCCAGATGCACCATCAGATGACTGTCCTGGTGACGGACCACGGCTCACCACCACGAAATGCCACCATGGTAGTTTACGTCACAGTGACCGACATCAATGATAACAGCCCATTTTTCCCACAGTGTCTCCCTGGGAAGGAATTTTACATCAAGGTTTGTGAAGCAGCCTTGCAATGAATTTGTAATATTCGTGATTATTTGTTTTGAGCACCATCTTGTGGTAGAAAGTGCAAATGTTCAAATCAGTGTTGGTGTGATCTTGTATGTACAGGATTTCTAGAGGACCAAGACATAGTGCATGTGTTAAAACAAACGGAAAGAAAGAGAGAGAGACAGGAGAGGGAGAGAAAGAGGGAGAGAGGAAGAAAGGAAGAAAACATGTGTATGTATTCTTTGGAATTAAACCTCCAGCTGTTCTTGTATGAAGGAATGCTGTTTATCCCTTTGCGTGTGTGTAACGCTGTCACACACATCTGTTGATGTAGCATCCCAGTTGATGCACTGTGCTGGCATGGTGGGGTGGAAGCAGGAACAATCTGTAGTCCCAGAGTGGGTAAATGTACATCCAGTGATTGTACAAGTTCATCCTTTTGAGCACATGCACAAATTTCTATTTATCTTTTTCATTTCCATCTCCTTTATAATATACATAGCAAGTTAGCATATTAGTTCTTGTATGTACTTAATAACTATGTTTTGTAGGTACTCATAATTTTTTAATGGATGTGTTATAAGAATAAAAAGTTAGGAAACTACTGTTTTGAAACGATTGAATTAGATGTTCAAATTGCATTTAAATATGCATACTGAAAAACTCAAAAAAGTGCTGGTGAAGTTAATCATTTTGATGGTCCAAAGCCAGATTTAGAGAAAACTTATACCAAAGTAAAAACTATCACATTATCGTGGTGACCTATAATTCTATCATTAATATCCTGCTTAATTGGACAATTGAACTGACATGTGCATTTCAATATTTCAGGAAAGTTCATTTTAATCAATGTTTCTCATGCAAGGTATATGTCCTGAAATAAAGGTTCATGTTTATCTAAGCATATTTGCATAGTAATAGTCTTTTAAAATATAACCTCAGAAGATGATAAATGATAATATGGCAGAATTATTTTAAAAAACCTAAAATATAAAATGTTTTATTCTTTTTCTTTTTTTCTTTTTTATAGAATTAGTCAAAATGCCCTAAATAAATTTTCAAATTGAGAAAAAGATTTAAATGTGTAAGGTGGATTCTCTTCATGGACTTTTGACCATCTAATTTTTATATGCAGACATTTGAATTGTATGTGGATTTTTAAAATAGTTAAAAATGCTTAGTGTAATGTGTTCTTTTCTATAAGTTCCATTGATACCTCTTTTTAAGATTTCAGTGACATGTCTGTAGCCACTTGTTTTTATGACAGGTTCTGGAAGACCAACCAGTAAACATGTTGGTTACAACTGTGTTTGCAAAGGATCTTGATGAAGGAAACAACGCAGAAGTTACCTACTCAGTATCTTCAGGTAAAAGTCCTTATTCATAAAGCATGAAGAGTTAGAACCCCCTTTATCAACTATCTTTCTGCTTCTGAAAAAATGTGTTTTATTTAGATTGCTCAGAACTCTCCAGGTAACTTTGAATATAACACCAAATGACAAACACAATACAAAATACATTTGCTACTGCCAAGAATCACGTTCACTTTTTTAAAAAAGAAAATAATTGTGCAAGTTTAGTGAAAACTCACTGCCACTTTTTTGCCCTAAATAGAAATCACCTACCCTAAGTGAGTAATTTACAATAATTTGATAAGCCAATCAACTTTTGTTGAAAGCAAAGAAGTAGTTAATGGAAAAGAAGTAGCATTTAGTGTGTTATGAAGTCAAGGGTCTATAATCTCTATGAAGACTAAGTACTATTAAGGTCAGAATACACCACACCTAGCTGCATCACACCATAAATCAAACGATATATGGTTGTATACATAGAAAACATCAGGCGTACTTTTATATTTTCTCTTAAAATGTACAGGGCTCAGATTTGTTGTGATGAGCTTCAGGTGATGTTGTGTCTTACATCAAGGGATATTTATTGCTTTGTCTTGATGTTAACATGAAACCAAGAGACAAAATCTTCCTTACCCGCATACAATGTGATTGTCTTCATGTAAAACCCAACAAGTACTACAGACAAAGTATTGGAATATAATAAGACAGCAACTTCTCTGGGAGCAATATCAATGTACAAAACTCAATAGCATTTTAAACTCTAAGAAGTTCTTCAAAGATCATGCTCACTGCGGTGAATTCATAAACATAGCCATACGGTTTAGGGCAGATTTGCTTGAGTGGAGTTCAGAGCCAATAGGCAATTTACATTTGTAATACTGTCGTATCTTTCTCATGGAGGACCCCCAAATTATATAAGCTTCAAAGTCACCTAAGTCAGAGTCTGTGCCTATTAAGGGATATAGTAAAATTCCAATAAAGCATGCATAAGACCTTTCTGTAGAAAACTACAAAATAATCATAAAAGTCAGACAAGACAAATTAAATAAAACCTGTATCATGTTCAGTTTAGGAAGGCTCAATAGCATAAAAATAAAAACACTTAAATATATTTATGAGTTTAATATATTTATAATGGAAATCTCAGTGAGTTTTTGTTGGAATTTGACAAGCTGATTCTAAGAGTCATAGGAACCACAAAAACAGAGAATAACTATGGCAATGTCAACAGAACAAGTAGGAATTTTGCCTCATGGATCTGGACTTGAAACTTTTCTAATTAAGACAGTATCATATAAACGCACTGATTCACAAATAGGGCAGTGCAAAAGAGTAAAGACTTTGTCTCACACACGTGGAGAATTGACACCTGATATATGGGGAGGAGATGGACTGCCAACCTCTGATCCAGGTGTGACTGATGACTCACGTAGGAAAATAAAATTTTGAGAGTTACTTACCTCCCACTATATCAAAGATGCAGTGATTTCAGTGTGACTATCCGACTTTCTTACCAGAAAAAAAATAAGAAATTGATTGTATGACATTGAGGACAAAGAACAATTTTTAAACAAGGACAACAAAAACTCACAAAGAAGTAGATAATAAAACTACATTAAAACTAAAATCTTCCCAAAAGATGCCATTGTTCACAATGTTGTAAGTCAGGTCACAGACTGGGAGAAGATAATCGCAACCCATGTGATTAATATCAAATTGTATTCAGACTTTATTTAAAAACCTACAAATCAATAAGGAAAGGAAAACAATTAAATAACAAGTGAGAAAATGGATATTCACAGATTAAAGGGTGCTCACCGAAAGGGATCCCGAATAATCAAAATGGGTCCAAACATACTCAGCTTGCCTGGGAGAGCTTGTTGGGGAGCAGTGAAGTAAAGCCGGGTCTACTTGGAGGTTTGCTTCGCTGTGCGGGTGCAGGCTTACTCCGGTTTCAAACCCTAGAGCAATCGTGTACATGTGCAGAATGAGTCATGGACCAAAATAGTTTCAGTAGCATGTAAAATAGGGTGTGTTTGAGTGAAGCACTTCACAGTAATGAAAGCGGAAACACTAAAGCTTTGTACACACTGACCTAATCAACTCTTGAAACTTAAGTAAAAATGACAAATTGCACTGTCTCAAATAGGCTACTTTCCTACTTTCCTGTAATCTCTTTTCTCTAATGCTATTTTTTAAATTTCACATGTGAAAGAAAGCGTGTGGTATCTGACTTTCTGAGTCTGGCTCATTTCACTTACGATAATGGTCTCCAGTTGCATTCATTTCCCTTCAGATCTCATGTTTTAAAGAAATCAGTTCAAAACGCATTAAAGATCTAGATATCTGACTTGAAACTTTACAACTTCTAGAGGAAAATGTAGGGGAAACACTTGAAGCCATAGCACAGGCAAAGACTTCCTGACTAGGGCTCCAAGCATAGGAAATAGTAGCAAGAATCAACAAACAGGATTAAGTCCAATTAGAACACTTCTGTACAATGGAAGGAATAGTGAAGATCCAGCCTGCAGAATGGGAGAAAGTCTTTGCCAGCTATTTTTCGGTCAGAGGATTAATATCTGGAATACACAAAGAACTCCAGAAACACCCCAAACCCAACAGCTCAATCAACAAATGCATGAATGAATAGATTCTTTTTCTTAAAAGAAGTACAAATGGCCAATAAGCATATGAAAAATGTTTAATATCTTTTCATAATTAGGTCAAAACACGTTGATATTCCATCTCAGCTGAGTCAGAATGGCTATCGTCAAGAACACACACACACACACACACACACACACACACCCCAAGTAGTGCTAGTGAGGCTATGAAGGGAAAAGGAACCTATCTGCATTGCTGGTGGGAATGTAAACTAGTAAAGCCACTATGAAAATCAATACGAAGAGTCCTTTAAAAACCAAAATGGAGATACCATTTAATCTAGCTATAACATTCCTCAATATATTAGCAAAAGAATTAAAGACAGAATAGTACAGCAATACATAAATACCTATGTCTACAGCACCACAGTTAACAATATCTAAGCTACCATAGATGCTCATCAACAGATAAAGGGATAAAGAAAATGTGGGATATATACACAATGGAATATTGTTCAGCCATAAAGAATGAGATCTTTCCAGTCACTACACCTATCAGAATCTGGTCCTGGGAAGAAACTGGCTTCATACAAGCATGTGTTAAAAAATATTCCTCCATCTGTGAAATCACTGAGGTCAGTAAGATCTTTGTATCACTTTTTTCCATTTTATTTTCAGCTGCAGAAGGGAACATGGTATACCTGTGAAAGGTGATCAGGGTAGAGAGATATTCGTGCACACACACACACTTTTGAGCCATAATCCTCCTATAATATTATTACTTACAATAGACGAAGCCATGGTAAGCATATTTATGAATGCATGGACTAGAAAAACAACTCCACACAGTGGGTAGGAAGGTGACTTCCTACAGAAAAAGAGGAGGGCGATGAGAGCTGGTGTGCACAGGCCCTCTGCTTTATTTATATTTTGTCATTTCTTGGAAGTGCCAATGAATAATTGAGAAATTATCAATCTAGGAGGTGATACATTGATGTTCATCGTGTATTCTGAATGTTTAACTTACTATTCTTTAATTGGTTTTTAAATGATGCCTGGGGGCATAGCAGTATAAAAATACAGTGGTAGTTTTACTTGCATTACAAAATTGAGGAAACTACCAATTGTAATCCTATACCGTAACATGATAAAAACTTAGTATAACAGGAACAAAAATACATATCGTATTCATGAGAAGTCTTCGTTATTCCTGTGAGACTAAAAGGAGTGGGTTAAAGGTGAGGAATCACAGCTAATAAATGCTACATACTTTCCTGCTCGTTCTGTGAGCTTTGTAAAAGCAGGTACTCCTTTTTGTGTTTACGTGCCCTATAACTGCTGAAGTACTGTTCAGTTAGTGACTCAGCAACTGTTGAACCAAAGAATGAAAGACTTTTCTACCTAGACTTTGTGTGAGGTGGATTGTCTTTTCTCTATGATATGAAGTACTCAGATTTTGTTAAAGGAATGCAACCTGCTAGTTAACTAAAAACTCTATGGCATCAATTTGAATTATAGGCATCAATATGAACTTATGATATATTTTAGTGTATAACTATTCTTTGTCCACTGGAAATGACAAAATCAGAAAGAGTGAGTACCCCAGATGTCTGAACTATGGTCTCCCCAAATTTCCATAAAAAGGAACCAGAAATCCTGGAGAAATGGCTGGTTTTAAGTTTTGGACAGGAAATCTACAAAAAGAGTGCACAGTTCTGTGACAGCAGATACAAGAAGGTTACTAATTGTGAGCAAGACCCTGCCCAGAAGACCTGGGAATCACAGCTTCAGTAAAGACAGCCCTGGCGACATGAGGAAGCACATCTGTTTAAATGCAGCTTAGTGATTCTTAAAACAAAAAAGAGCAAAACTTTACTGATCGCAGTTGGAGCTTCAGAGGATGTTACAGAATCAACTCATTATTCCACAAATGATTAAATAAAATATAGCATTTCCTATAGTGAGCTGAGCCTCTGGGTTACCAAAAAGTAGATAAAAGGAAATTTGTCTTTATTGAAGTATTCCAGCTAGGAAATAAAGAAGAGAGAATAATGCAGAAAACAGGGTGTTACATATTTTGCAATATTTAATGCATCCATGAGTGAAGGCTATGAATCAGCAGGACCAACATGGAAACCTGAAGGTAACCAGACCGGTGCTTCCAAAGAGCAATGTAGCATTTATGAAGCAGTTTTCCAGAAAGTCAACCTGAATCAGATCAGTTCTCTAGATCTCCTTCCCAATTTAAGGACAGCACGGGACAGAGGAACATAATAAGCTACACGTTATGTGCAACAGCCAAATGTAGGCCATGGGAAACTTCAAAAACATGATCCAGTTTTCATATCAGTTTCAGGGCAAAGTTAAAAAGATGGACAGTGGGAGTCCATATAAAATATGTAATATGTGGATTTTGTTTTGATGCTAATTTGAACAAGCAAACAGGTATTTATGAGATGATTGAAACTTTTAAAACCTAAGGAGTATTTTTGATGGTGTTTGGAATCATATTTTAAAGTTTATTATATTGTGATAATGTTAAAATGTTCCTTGTCTTTTAGAGACGTATGTTGACTTGTACACAGAAGAAATTATATGATTTCTGAGACTTACATCAAAAGAAAAGGAGGGAAAGGAAGTATATAAATTGGAAATAGATGAAATAAGAGTTGCTAATTATTGAAGCTAGGCAATGAACACAGGATGTTCATTATATCACTTTAAAACCTGCTATGTTTCTTGTTGATATTTTAGTGGCATCTTTTAGTTTAAATTTATTGAGAACTGATATATAAAAACATAACAATTGTACATATAATGGGATACCATGTGATATTTTGAGACATATGTGCATTATAGAAGTATTTATTGGGCTAAATATGTCTATCTCCATGAACAGGTTCATGACGCTTGCAGAACTAAGGGAAATAAATATTCCCAAATGATCACAAACCTACTGGATTCATTGATTCTCAGTTTTCTATCTTGTCAATTAACCTTAGTTTTCTAATTGTTTTTGTGTTTGTGTAGACGATTATTCCGATCATTTTAAGATTGATGCCAACAGTGGTGAAATAAGAACAACCACGATACTTTCCTATGACTACAGACCTTCCTACAGGCTGACGGTCATCGCCAGTGACCAGGGCGAGCCTCCACTGCAAGGCCAGGCGGTTATTAACATTCAGGTAAGGGGCTGGGGATTTAGCTCAGCTACACAGCGCCTGCCTGGCAAATGCAAGGTCGTGAGTTCAATTCCTGGTACTGAAAAAAAAAAAAAAAACATTCAGGTAATATTGCAACCTTAAAATGGGGAAGATGTGCCGAAGGTTAAGATGCACTGAAGGTTTCACTTGATTTTTATATAAATGGACAGAATGAAGGTACATTTAATGTGTATTATTTTCAGATCATACTGCACATACATATTTATATTCTCGCAAGGAAAATATTTAGGTCCAAATAATTTTTATATAGTTCTTGACAAGCTATTGCTACATGGACATTTATGTTGCTTTGTTTATTGTGAATAAATGATGTCTTTTTTATTTTAAAAAGAAAGCAATAAAAATGATACAGGATTTCAAAACAAGATGATGGGAAATTAATAATGGTTGTTATATTGCGTATTGTTATCTTCAAAGTAGTTGCTCAGATTACCAGATACAGACATGTAAAATTGATCAAACAATATAAGCATTAACTTCTTTCAGTTGTTCCTAATTGCAAAAACCTGGCAAATTTTCAGGAGAAACTGAGTGGTTAATAAATAGCCATATAATAAATCACATAGTTTAATGCAACTTGTAAAACTTTGATCATTTGCTTAAGATCCATATTTTAAGGTTGCATTGAAATCATAGCAAGCAAACAAATTGTGTAAAGTGTCCATAGTAAGTAGAAATTGTTCCAACCAGCAAAATTAAGATGGCTGTGCAAAACTGGATTTCTTTGTTGATGTACAGTATAATCAGATACATATATATAAATATATATACATACAATCAACATTTATTATAAAATATACATTTTATATATATGTAAACTCAAAAATATATTTCCCTAAGAATTCTGTTTTCAAATTATCTTCTTTGTAGATTAAAGAAATGTGTGTTGGGAGAAAATATATAGTATTGTTTCCAAAAAGTCATGGTATTTAAATGTATAAAGATGTCACAATGGGTAGATATTTAAATTAATAAAGATGTCATATGGACAGATTGGCCCTTAGGATTCAGAGTAATTTGGAGAATAGCTCTCCTATGTTCCAATTCAAGAATCACAAGGCTACATTTCAACTTAATCATTGCATGGCCTCTCCAAACTATCATCATTACAGCAAGCAGAATTCTAGCATTTCTTATTTCCTCAGAATTACATAATTTCAATCTTCTAAGCAGACTGGAATTACATCATATAAAGACATATTTTCTGACCAATTAGCGTGTTTATATCACACAAATAGGAATTATAATGACATCCTACCATGCATTAATATTTGCTATTAACTGATAATAGCAATTTAGCTATTTAACTATTCAATATGAACAGCTTCTATTTGTTCTGATTTCAGGTGATACCAATGTCCAAAGGACGCGTTATTATTTCTCAGAATATCAGACATTTAGTTATACCAGAGAACACGAAGCCTGCAAAGATAATGAGCTTGATAAAGTCACCCGATCACCTCCAGCAATACCATAGTGCAAAGTTGCACTTCAGTATTGTTACAGACGACAAGAGTGGTCACTTTGAAGTCGACAGTTCCACAGGAGACTTGTTTCTTGCTAGGGAACTTGATTATGAAACAACCTCGCATTATCTTTTCAGGGTGATTACCAAAGACCATAGCAAAAGTCCGTCCCTGAATAGCACAGTCTTCCTTAGTATTGATGTGGAAGATCAAAATGATCATTCTCCAACTTTCCAGGATGAGTTCATTGTGATCAGCGTAGAAGAGAACGTTCCCATAGGGACCCTGGTGTACACGTTCCATGCCAAAGATGGTGACGGTAGCTTTCTGAACAGTAGGATACAGTACTTCATCGAGTCCCCGCAGCCTGGAATGAACCCATTTCTCATCCACCCCTCATTTGGCACCTTAGTCACTGCGGCTTCCTTGGACAGGGAGAGTGTCCCAGCCGTCATCTTGACAGTCACTGCGTCTGACCAGGCTGTGAACGTGACAGACCGGCGCTCAAGGTCGCTCATAGCCAAAGTGGTGATTTTGGATGTAAACGACCACAGCCCCACTTTCATATCCTTGCCCACTGCCTATGTCAGAGAAGACGCCACCGTGGGCTCCTCGGTGCATCACATAAGAGCTCGAGATCCAGATGAAGGAAGGAATGGAAAAATAACCTACAGCATCCGCTCCGGAAATGAAAACGTGACCTTCACACTTGACGAGTCCTCAGGTACAGTGCCTGGAGTCCTGGTAAACCATTTTGGCTTTATTTTACTGTGGTAAGAAAATTTAAGAAGAGACTTGCCCTTCTAACAAGTACAACAGATCTCTAGAATTTCCTCAGCCTGCTACACTGAAACTTGTATCTTATCATCCTCCCATACAGCCCCTGGTCACTATCCGCTCTTTGATTCTGTGAATTCAATGTTTTAAACATCTCATAGAAATAGAATCATCAGTGTTTGGCTGTTGGTGGCGTTGCTGCATATTTCAGAATTTCTATCCCTTTAAAGGCTGGCTAGTATCCCATCGCACATGTGTATGCCACATTTTCTTTATCCATTCATATGTTGATAAACATTTGCATTGCTTCTGCATCTTGGCTGCTGTGAACAGGTTCAACTTCATTGTTCTGCGCATTGTTCTGCAGTAAAAATGGGGCTGCTACTACCTCTTGGAGATTGTGATGTCAACAGTTTTGGATAAATATCCAGAAGTGGGGTTGCAGGTTGTATGTTAGTTTTATTTGATTTAAAGAATATTTTTGCAGAGGCTCCATATTTGTTTAGCTGAAACATTTTGCTTTACCACCCACAACGTGCAAGGATTTCAGTTTTTCCATATCCTTGATAACGCATGTCATCTGTTTTTTAACAACAGCTATCCTGACTGTTGCAAGGTAATAATAGCTCACTGTGGTTTTGATTTGCATTTCTCTGACAATTACTGACTCAAAACAGTTTTTTAAGTCCTTGTCGACCATTTTTATTCTTCTTTGAAGAAGTGCCTACTCAGGTTCTCTGTTCATTTTTTAAATTTGCTTGGTTGTTTTCTTGTTTAGTTGCAAGAGTTCTTCATGTATTCTGGATAATAACCCCTTATCAGATACACAGCTTGAAAATATTTTTTCCCAATCCATCGTTTCCCTTTGTCATTGCTCCATAGTTGGGTGAATTCTCACTTACTTTGTTTTTGTTGTCATATTTCTGAAATCATTGTTAAAACCAACATCATAAGCTTTTCCTCAATGTTTTTTTCCAGGAGTTTTATTCTTTACAATCCTAACTTAACCCTTAACCCATTCTGAGGGTTGTTTTTTTTAATGAACAGTACAGGACACAGGTTCAACTTCATTGTTTTGCGCATGGATATTCCTTTATCCCACACAGTTTGTTGAAATGTCTGTCCTTTCACCATTGTGTATCCATGGAACTCTTTTTCAAAGCAAGAGTGCTCTTTCTGGGATCCCTGCTCTTTCCATTCTCTGTATGACTGTCTTTAGGCCAGTAAATATTCCTTTTATTACTACACCTTTATGATATGTTTTGAAGTTAGAAAGTGTAGTTCTCCAGCTGTGTTATTCTTTCCCAAGATTATTTTGTCTATTTGGATATTCATAGAGTTCTTTGAGATTCTATGTGAATTTTACCATTTATTTCTATTTCTTCCCAAAAATGCCACTGGAACCTTCATTGGCATTACACTGAATCTATAGGTCATTTTGAATAATTTTACCATTTTAACAGTATTAGTTTTTCACCCCATGAACACAGACTAGCTTTCCATCTGGTGTGTGTTCTTTAATTCCTTTCATCGTGTTTTATAATTTTTGGCTTGCCAGCTTAGATATTTTTCCTAAGTATTTTATTCCTTTTGGCATCACTGTGAATGAGATTTTTTATAATTTCTTTTTCAGACAACTCCTTGTGAGTATGTAGAAACACAATTGATTTTTGATGCTGAACTTGTATTATTAACTTGTAAGTCCTGAGAGTTTTCTATTTAAAGATAATGTAGTCCATGGCCAGGGATAATTTTACTTTTTGCTTTTTTATTTGGGTGCCTTTTTGTTCTTTTTCTGTCGCTTTTAATTGAAGTCTCTTATCACTTGCTTACATCCAGGCTTTTAATTTCCCCCTATTAAAATGTTCCCAAGATATAAATGCTTTGATAATTTTAAAAATTTTGACTTCTTTTACTTACATGTATAATGCTACAGAGATTGTATTTGCAGAACCAACTTTAATTGACCTGTTTGTTAACACTGTTGTTTTGCGGCCATCTCCTCTCTCCCAGGTTGAATGTACAAGAGAAAATGTCTTTGCTGCCCCTCTATGGGCCTTTTGGGCAGAGATGGCACCAAAACTAAGCCAAGATAGCAGCATACCTGACCAACGGCATCATTTAGAGTCTTGGATATGGAAATTTTCCTTTAGATTATGCAAATATTTGCAAGTAACCAGAACTACCGTTTTAATCATTGACTTGGTGTGGACATTAAGGTCCTTGCTTTCCACGTCAATCATTAACATTTCATTTTTCTTCAAAATGCTTTTTTTAGTGCATGTTGGCAATACTTAGTAATTACCTCCGCCTTGAGGAGCTGCTGCACACACATACTGCATCTCGACCAGCTTTACACCCCTTCCTCCGTCCTTCTCTCTCCGCCCCAGTCTCCTTCCCATCTCTATGACCCCACTTCCCTGTTTCCTGCTGTCTCTTTTACTTTGCTCTTGAAATTATTTGTAATTTGGGTTTCTTATATTAGAGAAACCATGTGCTATTTATCCTCCTACGTCTGATTTATTCCACTTAACATTATGGCCTCGAAGTCCATTCATTTTCCTACAAATGACTCAACATTACCCTTCCTTATGGCTGAGTAGTACTCCATGTGTACACACACATTTTCTGTATCTGCTCGTCTGATGGTGGGATCTCAGCTGCTTCCATAATTTAGCTATTGTGAGTTGTGCTGCTATAAACATGAGTGAGTGTACATGAACCCCCGTAATATGATGACTGTAGCTCTTAGAAAGATGGCGAGAAGAGGTATGGCTAGATCAATGGGATTTCTAGGTTTAGTTTTTTGAGGAACAACCACTAAGGAAATCAGTAAGATTTAATATTTGCAGAAACATTTATTCATTATCAAGTACTCTTGAGTGTTCCTCCCTGTCATTCAATTCTCTTGCTGTCACCATGCTGCCAGATAACATCTAGAATAATACTTTATGAGTCTGATGAAAAAGAATATGTACAGTGTACCAGTCTTGTGAATTTGGAAATGGAATTCCCATTACTTTCTTTTCAGGGGGCACTGAAAAAATCAGTGAACTACTAACTCATTCTTTAAGCAATAAAGTCATTTCAATGTGAGCCTTAGGAAAAAAATTCTCAGATGTATAACCATTTGGCCAAACTGTTAATAAGAACATTATTTGGAATGAAACTGAGTGTGCAGGACTTGGAAGTCTTCATTATAGTCTGGCCCTGTTCTGCTGGAAAATTTCATCAAAATATTTATTAAATCCTGTACACATGGTTCCATTCTGAAGCGTGTATGAACACCACCTAAATTCCCAGCTGACAGAGAGATAGTCCAGACACAGACTGCTGGTTTCTGTAAGAACTGCATCTCTCCAAGGACCTGTTTCAATGATACTTTAAATGTTTTCCAAGACTGCTAAGGCAGGTCTATTACAGATTGTTAAAGGGGATGAATAAAATGGGAATCCTGTCTCAGGAATCAGGATATCATACATCTTGGGCAAATGTAGAGGCTGTTTCAACTGAGATATTTTTCAGAGACATAAAATGATAATTATCGAGTGCATTCACAGGAGATGGGATTTATTTTTCCTCTCAAGGCTCAAGTTTCTCATAAAATAGAAATTGTAAAGTTTTAAACAGCTGATAGGCTAGGAAGTACAAAGTGATGAGTAATGGCTGAAAAAAAAACCATTTTCTAAAATCTAATTCATTAAACCTTTTTAAGTATTTGAAGAACATTTATTAGAGGGTGAGAGGAACAGTCAGCAATCATAAAAGAAAAATATGACCATTTGAATTACATAATGACTACCTGTGTAGAACACTACTTTTATGGGTTTGTGCTCCCTTGCTGATAATACAGAGGTGTGTTTTATTCGTGAAGCCTATTGACTGAGTTATAACATCTTTGCTTTCATTTGATAATCAAAAAGACAACTCAGGGCAAATACAAAGCGACCATAACTCTTTAACAAAGATAAAATGATTTAAACCATGTAATCATACTCACATTTTTGTAACTTAGCTACTTTTAAGTAGGAAGAGCCATATGTCATGAAAATATATAGATTGTTAGTATCAGGTATCTTTTAAAGTGAGGTAAATATTGGATAGATAAATAACAGTCCTCTCATAGACAGTGGTATGAGATAGATTATCTTTTGAATAATCATTCACCCTTATAGTATTAACTTTTTATTCTAGATCATGTATAAATTTAAAGTTGGTTTAATATGATTCATTCTTCCATGAAAAGTTCAATTTTAAATCAAGTTAGATGAGCCAGACATAGGCAGAACGCGCACACATGTGACTAACCTAAGGTATATTCATATCATGTTGCTTGTCTTCTCTTTCAAAACAGGCTTACTCACTACAGCTCAGCCTTTGGATTACGAAGTAAAAACCCAGCACATTCTGACCCTCGTGGCCCTGGATGGTGATGTCCCGGCACGTTCCTCCTCCCAGACAATGACAATTACTGTCCTTGATGTCAGCGATGAGGCACCAGTGTTTAAGCAGCAGCTGTATGAAGCCTCAGTGAAAGAAAACCGAAGTCCAGGGGAGTTTGTCACAAGGGTTGAGGCTATGGACAGAGATTCAGGTAATTTAAAAATATGGAGACTTTGGTAATTAATGCTAAAAACACACTCAAAATTATGATTGACATAATTTAAAATATCGAAACTACAGAGTCCTCCAAAAAATGTGTACACACTTCAGGATAAGAAAAACTTGTATAAAGTGCACATTCTCCTGATTTAACAACTATAGACTTATCTATGAGAGATCCTGATGTCGTATATGGCCAAAAGCCCACTACATTGCCAGCCCTTAGAGAAGAAATTGGAAATGCGTGTGCAGCAATCTCAGTGCCCAAGGTCACCCAAGCAGTAGTTCACCATCCTAATAAAAGTATGGAAGCTCATAGCCACCATTTTGAGCACCTCTTCTAGTTGTAGAGCTCAAACATGACTTCTATTCATCTCATGGTGGCTCAGTAAATTTAGTATTAAAATACTTATACAAGTTTTTTCTTTTCCTGAAGTGTGTATACATTCTTTTGGCAGGCCGTGTAGTTTTGATTCAGAAACAGTGAAGTTACTAGGTATCTCACACTTCTAATACTTTTATTCACATACACATAAGAACATACATATCTAAAGATAATGTATGCTTTTGATAGCATTTGCTCATATTGATTTTAATGTTTATATTAGAAAGGTATATGTTTAATTAAAATGCAATTTAATGATTTGACCATGATAATTAACAGAATTATAAACAAAGAATCACATTTACTTCAGAGTGTAATAAACAGTGCTTTCTTTTGCCAAGGGATAGCATAGCAGAAGGCCCATGGCCCTGGAGTCAGATTACTTACACTGTGTAATCCTGACCAAGTTACTACCATTCTACTCCTGTGCTTATCAGTAAAATGGGGATAATGACAGTGCCTCCTTTTGTAGTTCCATCATAAAGATGAACTATTACATGTGAAGAGTTTATGTCAGTGTCTGGCGCGATAAGTAGACAATAAACGTTAATTTCCAATATTATCGTCACTATTATTATTAATATCAACCATTGAATACAGACAAACCACTCCAAAATGAATTGTTGCCAAGCCAGGAATTTATAAATTTCTTAGCTTTGCTTTTCAATTGCTATAGCTCTTCTCATATTTAAAATTCCGTAACTGTTTTTATTTTAAAATAATTATAGAAATTACAGTGTAGTGCTTCCTAATAAGAGCCTTTTTGGAATTGTCTCACTGGAACTAGTGTGAACTGTTTAACAAGCCAGTCTTTTAAGATTTGCAATTGTATATAGCAAGCAGGTTTATACATCAATAAATCAGTGTAAGATTTTGTTCTATTCTTACGTGAATTGTCATAGACTTTTTTATGTAAATGATAGTATTAACAACAGCAGTAAGCCCTTAAATTGTTAATCAAAAGAGTAAAAGATAGGCTTTCTGGAAATTCTAAACTAAATTATATGCCATTTAACTGCTTTGTCTCTTTGAGGACCATCATCTTCCAATGAAACCCAGTTCACGAGAATTTGTAGGAGTTGCTGGGAACACTCTTTTCAAGAGCTAATCTAATTTCTCTTCTGACCAGAGTGGGGCAGTGTGGGCAAGGAGATTTCTTGCTATGCTCAGAGAGAGAGTGGGGCACGCCGGCAGTTTGTAGGAGTCTGTGCTGAGAGAATTTATTCAGCACATTTCTGGCAATACTCAGTTCAGAGTGTGGAAAGCTATGGATAACATACGTAAGCTTTGTGTCTGATAATAATTCTGGTTCAATAAAGTTCACTTAGAGTGTTCTCTCTGGTGAGCAGAGCAACATGGGACACCCCAAAGTGACTTACACTGGGCCTGTTGCTAGTACTGTGCAATCTATTAATCAAAGAATGCTTCTGTCCTACGGCCTTATTTATTACAAAACAAATTATGTTTTTTAATTATGAATTTATCTTCCTTTAATGCTTGAAGACAAAGGAATTTCTCATGAAGTTTTGGATCTGATTTTCACTGTCAAATTGCCTAGTATTAATGGTACTTTCTTTGAGGATGAATTGTGTGCAATTTTAATTGAATTGAAAACTTATATTCTAGACATCGTGGTTGCTGACTGCAAACTTAGATGCAGAATTCTTCTTTTTGCCGGTTCGTAGTAATGGATGTCTGAATTTAACATCTTCATGAATCTGTAGCTTTGCATGTTTTGGAGATGGTTTTGATTTACTGGAAGTCTTGGTGTTTTTAATGAGGCCAAATCTGTTAAGCAGGTGATTGTGTAAATGCTTATGAATATTTTCATGCATGCATGTGGTTTTTTTTTAATATATTTTCTCTCAGTTTTTCTTTTTTGGGGTCTTTTTTTGGCTTAGTGGGTTAAAATAATGAAATAGCTTTATGCATGAGAATTGAATGACGTAGTCAAGATTTTAACATAACTGGCATTGCACTGGAATTTATGAATGGTTTACTTTATAGTACGTATTTTTAAAATACTATAGCTTTGCTTAATAACAGATAACATAACATATGTTTTCTAGTATTCTACAATATAGTTTTTAAAAATGTAAGCATACAATGTTGTTTGGCATTCAAAACCCACAGGGATTTGAACGCTGAATATTTATGGTGTATGACTCACACTATTCTAACAGAGTTTTTTCTCATACTGAAAGGAGAAAAAAAAAACAACAACCAGATTTTAACTATGGTATTAAAACTGCTACAGCATTTGGTGCCACCAACAAGAGAGCCATTGTTAGCAGGCAAAAATCTACCTCAGGGCTTCCCTCCCCAGCTCCTGGGCAGATAACTCACTGGTCGATACATTTGCTCCAGAGTAATGAATACAAGTAATTTAACAGTACGTTGCCACATGGAGATACGGAGTTTGTTAGTGAGATGTTGCTCTTTATTTCATGAAAGTGGGTTCTGTACCCGGGGTTGTCTGGAATAAACTCTGTATCTTGTTTGCTAGTATGTCTTACACACCACTGGGAATACTGCTGCACCCTACAGAGCAACACTTGGGGCCAAGGAGAAACCGTATTTCATTGAATCTGAGGTACCATTAATTTTAAAAATCATCTAATTTCAGAGAAGTTAAAACATGAAAACTATCTTGGAATTAATGAAAATAAATAAGGGTTCCTCACCTTAGCCTTAGGAATGATTCCACCCAGTGTATGGCTTGTCAGCCCTCTGGGAAATGTTAGAGACCATTCTGCACACCCTTTAGGAGCAGACTCGGTTATGCATATACCGAAGGATAGGAATGCTAAAATATCTCAGCCTATCACATTTTGCAATATTAATTTCTCGCTCTTGTAGCCACTTTATTTGTATATTCAACCTTTTGTAAGCCAGTTTCTTTATAGAGTGGCATTTCCCTTGTGTCATCCACTGAGGCAAAATATCTGTCACCTGTTCATCTGCACGTGATTAGCAGTTGCTCACGGACCTGCTCTCCAGTTGTGTCACCACAGCATTTGCGCAGTGTCAGACCTGACCTGACCCAGGAGTGCAGAAGGAGATCCATAGGGTTCAAGCCCAAATTAATCTTGCTGACTTTGTGCCCCAAATCTAGCAACGTGGTTATTTCCAAAGTCCAAACAGGGAATTCCGGAATGGGGTAGATCCCTGCGCACTTCATAGTTTAAATTCCTCAATCCAAGGAAATATTGTTCCAGGAAGTCACAATGACATGCTAATGGAAGCCACCACCTCGTTAGGCTGTGGTACTTCTGCTACTCCCTTACTACTGTTCTGCAGATCTTTTATTGGTTTCTGCTTGGTCCTCTACAGATTTTCTCTGTATAAAGTCCTGTTATAAATGTGGTTACAGAAAGGTGAAAAAAAAGGACAAAAACGAATAAGAACTAATAACCTTATTCAGAGTATAACTGTTAAAACTAATACTTTAGAATTTACTATTAGTATTGCATTGAAAACATTGTACTATAATCATGTAATTGCTTACTCATCTGCCTCCCCTGTAAACTATGAAATACTCCTGGGATGTTTTATTTAGAATGTTTTATTTTCCTGGATTCATAACATTCCATTTACTTTCATCCCAAGTGCTTAGGGTAGAGCAAGATATGACATAGGAATTCAACGAATATTTTTTACTGTCTCATATAGGAAACTGAAGTAAATGAGACATAAGCTGCCTGGGGTTACCTTTCTTCTGCAGAATTTATTCACTTATTTCTTCAAACTGTCAACAAGACATGGTTGTCTTTTTGCCTTAGAAATGGCTGAGGGTGTGGTCATTGTGCAGCTGATGAATCACATGAAAAATGATCTTCCTAGAGTTAATCTAAAAGTAACACTCCCTGTGCTGCCTCGCAACTTTAAATCTCCATAGGTGACTGTGTTTTGGTAAAGTTTATACCAACAGGGCATGGGTTGGATTTGGCCACAGGGCTGCAGTACTGTAATCCCTGGCCTAACATATGTCTAATTAAGACATATGAGTTATTTTGCTACTTTCTGGTCATAAAATCCAATTATCATGATGTCATCCAAGTTGTGGATCAGTGGAGTGTTCCATTATACACCAAGAAGACCCATATCTTCTGAGTAGATGATGGTGAATGACAGAAGAGCTTGAATGAAGATAGATGCACTGCTATTTCTGCTGGGTGGGAGTAAGTGATTTTTATAGTACTCACAAACTGATATGAAGTATTGGCTCTCAGAGCATTGGTGGTCCTAAGACCAATGGCGCCATGGTCCACCCTCAGCCTGCAGATGACAACCACCGTGGAGCATTTCAAGGATGCTGGTGTCCCTCTAACCAGTCCTGTGCAGCATCTTTAAGAAAGGAGACTCCTCTGAATTTGGGGGAAATACACTGGGGATGAGTGATAAGCATAGAACACATGCAAACAGTCCCATTTCCTTAAGTTTTGGATTCTTTACAGCATAATACGCAAGCGAAGATTGGGCATCTCAGCCTCAGTGATTGCAGGCCACTGGTTATTGAATCTGACCAATTAAAGAAACTGTCAGGGACACAAGTCTATGAACTGGCGCGTTAAATGTGGACTCCCTGGCAAATACACTGTATCAAGAAATCCATCCAAAGCCAACGCGATATTTTATGTTCATGCATCTTATATCCTTAAAGTTGATTTCCATAGGTATTTCTCAGATTTATGCCAATATAAGTTAGAAAAATATTGTTATTCCTTTTGAATCTATGAGCTCTGTTTGACAGAGTCAGATTTGTACTTGGCTGCCTACATTTTGTTGAAATCTGACTCTGATTATGAGTATTCACGGGTATGAGCACTGACTTTCAAGCTATCAGTTAAATCTACCACTCAATTTGGGTCTGATCTTCATCAGTACATCAGCTGGTAGTGTTCTTTCTGTAAACTGCAAGTACGTTCAAGTATCATCCGACGTCATATTCTTGTTTACCTCATGTAGCCAAAATCTGTGCCATTTGGTTCCCTCATGAATTGGGTTCCTTAGTACTCATTTCATCACACGTAACACATATGATACTTTAACATGTCATGACACCACCTCAAGTGCTGAGTTACCCGTACAGCATCATTCCCATGGCAAGGAGCTCTGTACTGCATTCAAGGCCAAAGAGAATCAAACCAATCTCAGATTCCCTATTACCTGAAACCAACTCCTTTTGCCCAATATCTTATCAGTCATGTTTGGGTAAGAAAACCAGATGCTACACTATAGGTGTTAAATAGCTGAATAAGTAAAGGGAGACTATTAAGACAGTCCAGAAGAAATAAATCTAGGAAGTAGCTGCTACTGGGAAACATGGGAAATTTGAATTATTAGAACCTGAGAAAAAGCAGTGAGAAGGGGTCGTGGAGAACCTGGCCGGGAGAGTGATGAAGGAGACTGAGCGACATTGCTAAGGGAGACAGAGTGCAATCGGGAAAAGGAAGCATGGTTTTCTCTCCTTCTGGCTTTCGGTCTCCTTCCAGTGTCCCTTTGTAACGGACCCTTAGAGGGAGTCACTTGACAAAGACCTGTGGTTTCGGATGCCCAGCTCCAGCATCAAGGCTGAACAATGGGTTTAGATCTGAGACATTTGTTTAGCAGCTACAACACCATGTAAAGACCTGAAGAGGAGGAGGAAATAGAAGGAACAGCAACCAAGGAGGCCCCTCAGAAAGAAGCAGTGTATCCAGAACAGCAGGACGGCGCGTAGGCCAGGTGTCTGCTGAGGGAGTGAGTCCCTGAGAAAAGCTTGAAGGGATGAGCAGAGTTCACATCATATGGGACTTTGTAGACTCTGGCTAGGTGTTTGGATTTTATCTTAAAAGCATTCACACACTCTTCCGTCTTCCTGGTTAACTCATCTTTAGGGTCTCAGGTTATAAAGAAAGCAACTCACATCACTCACGTATGTCTTACCTCATGGAATTCTAATTGCCCGCTTGCTCGTCCATGTCCAGGACTATAAGGTGAGCACTGTGAGGATGGAGAATTTGTTTTCTTGGTAGCAGTTATACATTTAGTACAAGGCACAGTAACTTAGAACCTAATGTTGCTCTTTCTGTATATATTTACTGAATGAAATAATGAATGAGAAAACTGTCTGCCTGTGACAAGTCCTCCCCAGTCCACTCCCTCGGCAATTTGATAAATTGCATCATACTTTCTATGACTCATCGATTTGACTGTCTCCTCTGCTAAATGGGTACTTTTAGAACTAAGGTAATTCTTCAGTGCCTGACATACAGTAAATGTACGTTAAACACGTGAACACAAAAAAGAAATGAAGAAAGTACAGGAAGGAGGCAGGAAGAGGGAGGGGAAAAGCAACAAAGGCAGGAAGGCAGGAAGGGAAGGAGGGAATTGTACAGCCAAACAAATGGTGCAGCGCCATGTGCCTATGTGGTGTCATCTGTACCTAGGTGGAATCTGAACTCCCTGGGTTGAGAATGAGGTAGAGTGAATGTGTAAGTGAGATGCCAGTGAGAGGATGGTCCAGATATCAGCTGCTCACACCTGAAAAGATCCCGCCATTCCACTCAGGAAGTAGGAGACAGATATGTCGTAATGAAACAAGAAAAAGAAAATTCTTTTCCTTTTATTCTTTTACTCCTCTTCCCCCATTCTTCCCTCTGTTTTCGCCTAGGTTCCCTCATTTCTTTCAAAACATGAGTTGGCAATACATCACCAAGAAGCCAACTTAGGTATTATCTGAAGATGGCCAGCAGGTTTGATGAGCAGGAAGTCACTGTCATGGTAGAAAGAGTGGCTGTGACAGGCAGTGGTTTGAAGCTAGCTGCAGGGAATGGATGGAATAATTCAATGAAATTTGGCTACAGAGACAAGGGATGGGGGGAACTTAATTCTTCTAGCTACAGGAGACTATAATCAAAGGGAATATTTTTAGTAGAAAGACCAGAATTTACAGAAAAATTCCAAGGGAGAGTATTTGAAGAATCACTTTTGCCACTGGACAGAAAGCTGGGGGCTGGAGTTGAATGTAGAGGCAAAAGGCTGAGGGAGCTCTTTTCCAATGCCGCCTTTCCTCCTGCATTATTAAAGAGAGAGCGAGGAGGTGGTCAGGTGGGAAGCCTGAGTAGGATGGGTTGACCAAGAAAAAATTCCTGGGTGACAGTTCCTTCATCTCTCCATCTATTGGATAATCCAGGAGAACAGAGAGATAGTTGGAAAGATCCTGGGCTGAGGATTTGTTCAACATCTTTGGCATAAGTTCCCAAGACCCATGGAAAGGAATAAATTGCTAAAATGACAGCTCACAGTGCTGGACTAGATAGGAAGGAACTAAATGGTGAGAAGTGTCTTCAAGGGACATAATATAGAAGTCATGCAACTGCAGGTATTAGGGCCTGAAAGCAGATACATGGGTGTATGTGCACACAGACACACCTGGGCACGTGTACATACATGTGCATATACACACACATCTTTCTCTAGGTGTGTACCATAAGGATATCACTAAATATCTTCAGATCCAGATTTCCAAAATACTTAGGTGACAGAACTAGACTAAATCATTTTTATTTTCATTTTCATAGTTCTAGAGGGTGACAAGGGTATGAGGAGAAAGAAACAAGTCATTAGCTGAAACCACAGAAATATGGGAACAATTACTTTGAAAATGCATAATAATATAGTATCACATTTCTCACTCAGATAGGAGACAGCCTATGAAGTAAAAGCAAAACAAAAATAAACACATAAGCAACTCTATGGGCTTCCTGAGATTGAAAATAAACAGTCTTATAAGTGAGCACAGGCTTTTAAGTAGAAGGTCAATCTACAGAAATTGTCACTTGTACCACAAACTTACAATTACATCATTAAATCACAATCAAGGGTGTTAAAAGGAACAATTAGGAATGTGTGGTAGAATTGCACACTCATAAGAAACAGTTTATGGGAGGGAAAAAATCCTAAGCATTCAGTGTGGGGAAGTCTCATAAGACTTTTGAAAATCGAGCGTTTCAGCTCATGAGGCTTTTATTTTGCAAGCACAGGCAAAGAGATTTTCTTTTACCTTAATTTGAAGACTGGCTAAGAATCTTGCCTTCCTCATCTACATCCTAACACATTCAAAGCAAAATAAATAAGAAAATGGTCAAGTGAACTCCCAAGGGATAATTGCTAAGTTTATCTTTCCCTTTTCCTTAAGGAATCAATTCCAAGCTTCAGTTTGAAATCCTCTCTGCGGCTTCCTTTGGGATTTTCAAGATCAATCCTGACACTGGAGAGGTAGTGACAGCTGCCACACTTGACAGAGAGCTTCAGGATGTCTTTACCCTTCGAGGTAAGGGAACCTCCTGTCCTGGTGTATTTTACATAAAACCAAAAAGGTCTGTGAAGAAATTTAACTTTGAACTGAGGTGTCTTTGAATAAAATATTATGGACCAAGTGCTACTTAGTTAGCTTCATCTAATGCTGTTAGGGGGAAACATTTTCAGCATGCACTAACAGCCACAATCCATGCCACCTTTCTGTTCCTTATCAGTCCTGGTACGAGACGGGGGAGTCCCTTCATTGTCCTGTACCACAACAGTTGTCTGCACTGTTGAAGATGAAAATGATCATGCACCAGAGTTTCTTGTCTCCAGTCACAACATTGAGGTTCTGGAAAACCAAGAACCTGAGGTCGTCTATACTGTTTTGGCCTTTGATATGGATGCTGGCAGTAACGGAGCTCTCAAGTATCACATAATCGGTAAGTAATTTTTAATTACAGTTCCCCCAAGGGTACAAACTGACTTGATGCATTCTATATGTTGATTCTTCCATACTTGGTATCTGTATGGGTCAGTTTTCCATTGCTGGGACAAAATAGCTGACACCTACAGTTTAAATGAGGAGAGGTATATTTTAGTTCCCAATTTCAGAGGGGCCAGTCCATGGCTGGCTGACTGTCAGGCAGAAACATCATGGCGGAATGGTGTGACAAAGGAAAGTTGTTTATCTCATGGCCTCCTGGAAGCAGAGAACAGGGAAAGAGCAGAAGGGAAGGGGCCAGAGACTAAACATGCCTCCCCAACTCACTCATCTAATAGAAAAGCAGGCTCATAAATACATTGCAGTGTGTCACCATCCACCTTATGCAGCAGATCTGACACTGTGAACTTCTGGTTCTTCCAAAAGTCAAATGGACTATGAAAACTCAATGTTTTGTATAGATTCAGGATGTTGAGGAAACCATGACAACACAACTAAAGACTTTCACAAAAGAGGACTTTCAGAGATGCTTCAGAAAGTGGCAAGAATGGTGAAATGAGTATGTTTGAAGCTAGGGGAAGTATTTTGCAGGAGGTTAATGGTAAGGCGTCTTTTACTAGATAATAAATTTTAAAAATTAAACATTAACATTTACTATATTTTTCCATAATACTGCACGGCTCCTGTTTCTTATTCCTGCTTCCTGTTATTTTATTTCAAATACTAAAACATACATTATAAGGTCCTCCAGAGGAAAAACATATGAATATAAAAAGTTATAGATGCGTGCAAAAAATTCACGCTGTTGCCAATTAGGGGAAGCAAGTGCTGTAGCTATTGACTCAATTAAGATGTATATTGAATCATGTTATGCTGTATTTAGTCAGCTTTCCCATGGCTGAGACACGATACCTGATGCTCACACCTTCGAGGAGGAAAGGATTAAGCCAGCTCATGGTGTCAGGGGTCCAGTACGTGAAAGTCTGGCTCAGAAGCAGAAGCACCATGCAGAAGGGCAAGGTGGAGCCAGGCTGCTGAGTTCTAGAGGCTGGGAAGCAGAGCAGGGCACAGTGCCAGGGAGAACAGCAGGCCACACCTCCGAGACCCACCCAGACACATTCAGGAACCTACTTTACCCCTCTACTACGTGCCTCTTAATCCAGTGATGTTGACCCATCAGGAATAAGTCACCAGTTGCTTCTTTCTATGGTAGAAGTTTCATATGGTGAGGGATTTCATCATGCTCTATCCCCAGTACTTACAAAAGTGCTAGGATGTGATAGAAAGGAAACAACTATTACTGAATGAATAAATGAGTGTATGCCATACTAGCAAAGCGGTGCTATTTTTCTCAACGTACTTCAATATATGTTCAATTGTTTTCTGTGATAGATGGAAACACGGATGAGTCCTTTGTTATTCATGAAACATCAGGAGAACTGGCAACTGCTCGTGCTTTGGACCGGGAGCAAGTCAGCAGTTTTACACTCACTATCCAGTGCTCTGACCAGGGGGACCCCCCTCGGAGCGCCACCATGCAATTGCAGGTGAAGGTTTTGGATGACAATGACCACAGCCCTGCCTTTTCCATGCCTCATTACTGGTCCTCTGTGGGGGAAGATGCACCAGTGGGGACCGTGGTTCTAGTGCTATCTGCCATGGACAAGGATGAAGGCCCAAATGGACAAACGGAGTATCTCCTGGTGGATGAGTCTGCTGGTGCGTTCACCGTTGACCCCCTGACAGGCGCACTGAGAACTAGCCGCACCCTCGACCGGGAAGCCCAGTCCCAGTACACATTTCAGGCTGTGGCCAGAGACTGTAGCATCAAGGGCCCAAGAAGCACCACCGTAATTGTTCATGTGTCTGTCACTGATGTTAATGACAATGATCCGGTTTGGGAGAAGAATCCTGTTGATGTTTTTCTTTCTTCGCAGCTGCCTATGAATCAGACCATTGCTATTCTAAGGGCCAGTGACCCAGACATGGGGCCCAATGGAGCTCTTACTTTTAGTTTTGCAGACGCCCAGTCATTGTTTTTGATGGACGAGACCACAGGAGAAATTAAACTTCTGGGAAGTCCACCTTCAGAGTATTGTCCTGCGTGGTTTCAGTTAAACGTTGCAGACGGAGGAGTCCCAGCCAGGGCGACCCCTGGTCTCCTGGTCATTCACATGGAAGGAGTAGGTGTAAAGATCTCCTTCAGCCAGCACCTGTATGAGGGATTTGTGGCTGAAAACTGTGAGACAGGTAAGTGTCTTTCAAGTCTCCTTGAAAGTGTCTTTCAAGTCTCCTTGTATATTGCATCTGTTTTGGCAGATTATGTGACAGTGCTATTGCGGGTTCAGATATAAACTTTTTGGGCTGGGGATTTAGCTCAGCGGCACAGCGCCTGCCTGGCAAGTGCAAGGTCGTGAGTTTGATTTCTGGTACTGGAAAAAAACCAGGTATAAACTTTTGAGTTCAGCCAGTTCTTGGTATTAGAAAGTTGTGATCCATATGGTCCTGCTAGTTAACTTTTTAACACTTTAACAAAATACCCAAGGCAGCTCACTAACAAAGCGAAGTTTATTCTGGCTCACAGTTCTGGTACAAGATCCTCCGGCCGTGTTGCTTTGAGCCTGCGATGAGTCTTGACCTCATGGCCGCAGCATGGGGCAGAACAAAGCACTCTCCACACAAGCCAGCCACGACCCTCCCTACGGCTCCCACCATTAACCGTGGGGTCACTAGATGCCACCTCCCAACAGTGAGGCTCTGAGGCTAAGTCTTTCGAGCTCCTGGGAGGCACCAGTATCCAAGCTCCAGCAGTGGTGACTAGCAGCCTACTCCTGATGAAGTGTGAAGGGAGAATGCAGTGTAGGCCAAGTTATACCACACCTGTAAAGGTGGGCCCTCCCTGTAGAGTTCCCTCAAACAAAGCTAGGAGCTAAATGAATGGGAAGCCTTTATCTTCCTTTTACAGTATATTTTTTTGAGCCTGATCAGGATTGTTCCTCTTAGTTCCCTTATATTTGGAATTACCTAGTTAAATTTGACATCTACCTTTTTTGGTAGAACTTAATACTCCAAAAGTTTTATATATATATCATATATATGATATATATTATAATATAAATATATGTGATATAGATATATATATGTATGGTTTTTTTAAGACAAATTTTTGTAAAGTAGTTCAGGCTGGCCTTGAACTCACTAGGTAGCTCAGCCTGATTTTGAACTTGCAGCAGTCTTCCTACCTCAGCCTCCCCAGTGCCAAAACATGTATTTATTAAATCTTATGCTTAAAGAAGGTATAGAAATACTGCTGGAAGTAATCCAAACATGTGGTATCTGAATATTCAGGTAAGTATACATTTGCAAACATCTGAAACAGTGAAATATGACCTGTCTTTAAGGATTAAATTTGACAACTGAAGTCCAAATTGAGAGGGAGAGTATCGCTGCAGACATAACAGAAAAGAGCAAGGGAAAAGGTAAAAATGGCAGTTGCTGATGCTTTTGAATTTAATTAGATGCACATAATGTATGCCTGGATTGGTAGGATTTTCTAAGGCCTATGAAAAATAATGACAATGTGCATAAAATAGAGATTGAAAAGCAGGCAAAGCTTTGCCTGGAACATGATTTAAGTACAAACTCTCAGATCATGTCACAGACCCCAGAGAGTGACCTTTCTTTTTTTCTTCTTAATTCCATTGATAGTAAAAGATTGCAAATCCATTGATCAATATCAGAATAGTCTTCATATATGTCTTTTAATATCACTTTGTAACTGCTAGAATGATTTTCCCTGCCTAAATGTAGCTGTAATTTTAATCTTTATTTTCAAATGAAAAATATTTGCCTACTAGAAGCTTAAATTTTCTGTAGGTTACTCAAAAACCCTATTAGTAGTTACCACTAGGCATCCTGAGTGAATTGTTTTTGGTACTATCATAAATTCTGCTCACTTCACACTGCTTTTAACATTGACACACTCTTCTAAGAAAATAAAAAGTTAAAACCAGTAACTTCTATGTATTTATATTTAGCTTTTTTTTTTTTTGATTGGAAAGGCCACAGGTTCAGGTTTGATTGACACTGAGTTTATTAACAGCATTAAACTTAACGCTGCTATTACTTAAAACAATATGTAGTTTCCATTTTTGAAAGCAGCCTTTGGAAAGTAAAATCGCTTTCAGAGTCAGCTATAAAATGTTCAGTTACCATGGAAAGTGTCACCCAGCAGGGCCCACGTGCCCACACGACAGAGGATGACCTTCAGCAGGGTGACAGGACCAGTTGTCTGAGCAACACCCCACTCCTGCTCCTGCCCTCTGGCTCACCCTTTCCCCCACCCGAGCCCACATTTTCAAGCTAGATTAAAGCGAATATTTTTTAAAGCTAAGGATAAGCTACTTGGTGCCCACAATGTTTAAATCTACTAAATGAATTAAAGGAACCTTCTAGAAGCCAGCCAGTTGTTATTTCTTCGGTTTCACTTCCAACACTTTGGTTTTCCAGACAAGGATGACTCAGCAGCTCTCCTCTTCAGTGTGGGCTATCCACAGGTTCAGGCCTGGCTTTGAATTGCTCTGAGGGGGGAAAGTCAAAATTCTTGAATTATATTGATACTTTCATTAAAAGTAAGTAGTCGGGTTTTGGAAAAGTTGAAAATAAATTAAAACGATGTCACATGGGGCTGTCTAACTGGTAAAATAAATTTGATCTAGTATAACAATAAATTAGATCTTGATATTTGGAGGCCAGTCTCTTCTTTCAGCACTTTTGCAGTTGACCCAGTGAATTCTGGTTCCTACTCTTAATTGGGTTGGGTGCATGGAGTCAGAGTGTGGAGATGTGACAGGGGTTAGTGTAGCCATGTGGGTCAGCCCCATCACAGCTCTTGTGCTCATATTCAGCAAGTTCTCTTTCTGACATAAAGGGCACATGGGAAGGATTTCCTCACTGGGGCTCTGTAAGGATTAGGTTTAGTCACTGGAGGATACTAGTCATTGCTTTTGTTATTATTGCTGCTTTCCTGTGGTCCACAATCCTTATTTGAATTCTACAAAGTTAGCTGGGTATAAATTCTTACCAGACCAAGCAATTATCATGTACCAATTGTCTGACAACAATGAAATACTTGCAAATTTTAAAGCCCTACCATCTGTTTCATTTTCTCTCCATACCAGATAAAATCATATTCTCCAAGGTAATGAATTTCCCCATAAACATGGAATTAGGTGGCTCCATGTCATCAGCAGCTTTGAAACAATGCCCAACATATAAATTTTTATGATAGTCAAAATAAGGAAGCAAATACTGTCATTAGTGTGTTGTTACTTAGGGCCAGTTCATGTTTAGGGTGAAATTCACTGTGGTAAATACCATCGTAATGGCCATTTACAGCAATGTAGAATTTCATTACCTCACGTAAGAAGCGGGTTCTGAGTCTAAGAAAGTTCTGAAGGAGAAAAGCCTTAGCCAAGGTCAGGGTTTCTCAGAAGATATATACCACATAAGGCAGTTTTTAATCTTTGTGATTTCACCCCAGTCCCACAGCTGGGCCTCAGCCATAGAAGCTCAAGGAAGGCCTCATTTTTTTCACTTAATACAAGGTTCCTTCCCCAGGAGGGGGAGGAGGACTTGCTAATCATTATGAAAGGAACTGATACATCTGCCATGATGCCAGCTTTAACTTTTATACTTGGTGAACTATGATTGCTATGTGGATTACAATAGTCGTGTCAAAATGACCAGCCCCCTCTTTCTAGAAAAGAGATACAGGAAGCCAAATTGTAATCAGAAAATTGTTGCTTGCTGATCCTAAGCAATTAAAAGTAGGATGTGATTCAATTGTTGAATATCATCAGCCTGCAGCCCTTTTCCTCCAGCAGAGCTTGCCGAGCACTGCCAAGAGGGACTTTGTGATGCTGCCATTGACAGTCCCAACTGTCATCACTCATCAGCTCCCTTTGGTTTACATCTTCCTCACTTGGCTTCTCAACTTCTCAGCTAAGGCTTCTGTCCTAGAGCCGTTTATGTAAAACTACGTTCTGAACCATTAGTTTTTGCTCATAGCTGGGTCTTAGTTGGCTTTTCTTTACTGAGACATCGTACTTGGCACCTACAATTTAAAGGAAGGGAGGTTTAATTTGGCTCATGGTTTTAGAGGGTTCAGTCCATGGTCAGCTGGCTCCAAAGCAGAAGTGTCATGATGGAAGGGTGTAGCAGAGGAAAGTGGCTCATTTCATGGTGGCCAGGAAACAGGGCAAGGGAACAGTGTCAGAGAGGAAGTGACGAAGGACCAGATAGGTACCCCAAGGTCACACCCCCATAACCCACTCAGACACTCTCCAAAGTGTGCTTTACCAATCTCCTGGTCATTTTGTAATCCAGTCAAGTTGACCTATCAGTATTAAAGGTCACAAGCTGTAACAGGGTTAGTATCTTTGAACTACATTAAAGTGTTTCCTCTGTTGCTTTATCTGTGGATAAAAATTATGCCTGTTCTACAAGAAGCATCCATTTGTCGTGGATAGCATTAGGATTGTGATAGGAGGAAGGCGAAGAGAGTATTTTGTCTTTGAAAAACAAAATATGTGCCCTTTACTATAATCAAATATGGTTCATAAGAAAGCCTGATCCTTGGAGATAAAGGAACCCCTCTATTTTATTGCTGGGAAATACAGGAAGGGCAAAAGAGAAAAGGTATAGGAAACAAATTCTTGGCCTCTTCATCCTAGCTGCCGTTTTCTTCAAAGCTGTAATTTAGGAGGGGCCAGTGAGATAGACTGAAACATGAACTAAGCAGAAGATACTTTGAGACTATGGGAGGACACTGCTTCATAAAATGGCCCTTTGATATCACAGGACAGAGTACAGGCTAGCCAGCCTGGCACAGACCTCTGCTGCAGGGATGAAATGACCCCACTCCCAAACCTTTGGGTAGGAGGGTTGGAGCGCACTCCAGAGGCTCCCCAGTATCATAGTGATGACACTAGCCCAAGTTGGCAAGTGTGGAGGTCTGGAACTCACCGTGATGACCAGATGGAGCAGACTCGCTGATGAGCTCTGAAAACCAGTGGAGAGCACGAAAATATCCCGCCTCACTGAGACACCCACCCATCACCAGTGTGTGTTACAGAAGAGCACTGCAGGAGGGCAGAGAACTCAAAGACTGAGCGAGACTTCAAAATATACTATGTGACCTAAAATAGTGTTTGAAGGGAAAAGATGAAGATGACATTAAGTAACACTTT